GTGGACACTACTTTCTTAGAAACTATGGAGTCTACCAGCATAGGTGGACACTACTTTCTTAGAAACTACGGAAATGTTGCTGAATGCATGACTCTGGTCTTTTCTTAAGAATGATGTCCTATGACCTCTTTTCTCTTTGAAAATTACAAGAATCTCAAGCATTGTGGAAGACAGTGTGGCAATTCCTCAAGGATCTAGAACTAGAAATACCATTTGACCCAGCAATCCCATTACTGGGTATATACCAAAGGATTATAAATCATGCTGCTATAAAGACACATGCACACGTATGTTTATTGTGGCACTGTTTTCAATAGCAAAGACTTGGAACCAACTCAAATGTCCAACAATGATAGACTGAATTATGAAAATGTGGCACATATTCACCATGGAATACTATGCAGCCATAAAAAAGGATGAGTTCATGTCCTTTATAGGGACATGGATGAAGCTGGAAATCATCATTCTGAGCAAACTATTGCAAGGACAGAAAACCAAACACCACATGTTCTCACTCATAGGTGGGAGTTGAACAATGAGAACACATGGACACAGGGCAGGGAGCATCACACCCCAGGGCCTGTGGTAGGGTGGGAGGTTGGGGGAGGGATAGCATTAGAAGAAATACCTAATGTAAATGATGAGTTAATGGGTGCAGCAAACCAATGGCACATGTATACATATGTAACAAACCTGCACATTGTGCACATGTACCCTAGAAATTAAAGTATAATAATAAAAAAAAAGAAAATCCCAAGAATCGCCTCCTTATTAAATTGTGATAAGTGGAATTGTCCTTTCAGATGCTATTTAATTATCAGCATGTCAAAAATCTGATAAAGTAATCACAAGTATTTACTTCATGCTTGGTGTATCTCTGGCACTGTACTAGACTCTATGGCGGTCAGTGCAAAACAGCACAAGGCACAGTCTTACCTATCCTTGAAGAAATTCAGAACTGCTTGAGAGGTCTGAATAACTTTTGAAACAAGGACATACCTAATGAATAGCATGCACCTAACAAATCTCGAGATGTTTGGCATTATTATATATGTCACTAAAGGAACATACAGTACATTTTAGCTTGCCAAAATGTGGTGTCTTATGTAGGAACTTAGTTGCAACAGTATCTTGGGGCTCAGCCAGGCATTGCCCTCTGGTTTATAAGAGAGAACATATTTATTTGTTATATAGCCACATAAAACTAAAATACCCACCCACAAGAAGCTCTATTGCAAAGTATGAAAGTGGTAACCAAATTCAGTATAGAAAAAAAGAGTTACAGTTAAAATAAACATGAGGAATTCTAAGAGCACAAAGCAGCAACAACTTCCTCGGACTTGGGGACGGGAAAGGCTCATTAGAAGTGGCAACAGATGAGACAGAGAACAGTGAAAGAGAAAGGAAGGATGTGGAGAGGGAGGAAGAGGGAGAAGACACCAGGGAGGGGAATGGAGAAAGGGAATTGGAGAGAAGGAAGGGGAGAGAAGTTATTGCAAGGGGGAAGTACAGGAGAGGTAATGGCTTATTTGGGGCCAGGTGAGTACAGTGGATCACCTGAAGAAAGAAGTGTAGTGGGTGTGAGTGTGGCAGGGGCAGTGGAGTGAGAAGGAGGCTGGGTTAGAGTAGACTTGAGTAAGATCCTACAGAGCCTTGGGAAACTGACTAGAATATTAGACTTTATGTTGAAGGTAACGGAGAACTCCTAAAATTTTGTAAGAGGAAGAACTAATGGAGCATATTTGCAACTCAGGGAGGTAAGTCTATTTGGCAGCAGTGTGCAATGGATGATAGGAGAAGGCAGCCACATGGAAGACCAGAGATTCTGTCAGGAGGTGGTTCCAACAAAGCACCCCATTCAAAAGTGGGCAAAGGACACGAACAGGCACTTTTCAAAAGAAAATATACATGTGGCCCACAAGCAAATGAAAAAAAAGCTCAATATCACTGATCACCAGAGAAATGTAAATCAAAACCACAGTGAGTTGCGATCTCACAGCAGTCAAAATGGCTATTACTAAAAAGTCAAAAGTAACAGGTGCTGGCAAGGTTGTGGAGACAAAGGAACGCTGACACATTGTTGGTGGGAGTGTAGGTTATTTCAAACGTTGTGGAAAACAGTGTGACAATTCCTCAAAGACCTAAAAACAGAACTAACACTTGACCCAGCAATCCCATTACTGTGCATATACCCTAAAGGAATATAAATCATTCTATCATAAAGACACATGCATGCATATGTTCATTGTAGCACTATTCACAATAGGAAAGACATAGAATCAACATAAATGTCCATCAATGGTAGACTGGATGAAGAAACTGTGGTACACAGACACCATGGAATACTATGCAGTCATAAAAAAGAATGAGATCATATTCTTTGTGCGAACATAGATGGAGCTGGAAGCCATTATCTTTAGCAAACCAGTGCAGGAGCAGAAAATCAAATGCCTCACTTATAAGGCACTTAAAGTGGGAGTTAAATGATGAGAACACATACACATATAGAGGACAGCAACAGATATGGTGGCCTGCTGGAGGGTGGAGAGTGGGAGGAGGGGAAGTATCAGGAAAAATATCTAATGGGTACTAAACTTAGTGCCTGGGTGACAAAACAATCTGTACAACAAATCCCTATGGTACAAGTTTACTTATGTAACAGATCTGCACATGTACCCCCTAAACCAATAATAAAAGTTATATTTAAAAACAAAAAGAAGGAGGAGGAGTGAAACTGAAGCTGCCGTCGGTGTGTGGAGGGCATGATTTAAAAACAAATCAGGGAAATAGAACTAATACTACCTGGGACTAATTAGATGGAGGGATAAGCCATGAAGGCAGTCAAAGAGGAGTCCCAGTTTCTAGACTTGGGCATTTATTGGCTTGTGCTGCTACTCATCAAGATAAGGAATAGAGACTCAGGACCAGAAATGAGGCGAAAGGTAAGGAATAAATTTCTGGTGTGTCTTTGGTGTATCCAGGCAGAGATGTCAAGCAGCTTGATCAATAGATGCTCTGAAGTTCAAGACCGACGTTGCCCAAACATACAGAGCTGGGAGTCATCAGTATGCAAGTGATTACTAAATTGCAGGAGTGATTTAGAACTCTTAGAGAGAGTATGCATAGTGTCCTCTCCCTATAACATTGCTAGGAAGTGGTTCTAAGAAAAATTTAATAATTTAATCATTTCAAAGCTTTTTTTTTGACATTTTAACGTCTCTAAATCAAAATGTCTCTTAAAATTAATGGAACTTCATTGTTTAGTTGACAATACTTTTTCCCTAGGATTAGAAAAATAATAGTTTCTTATAATCAATGACATTTTTGATTCATAAAATAATATAGCACATCAAAGCAGCCTGGATCTAGTGATTGCTTAAGGAGAAGGCTACATTTATTTAAGTTAAAGAAGCAGTTTATGAAAAAACATGCATTAAAAAAATGGTAGTGTAGGCCAGACACGGTGGCTCATGCCTCTAATCCCAGCATTTTGGGAGGGGCCAAGGTGGGCGGATCACGAGGTCAGGAGTTTGACACCAGCCTGGCCAACATAGTGAAACCCCATCTCTACTAAAAGTACAAAAGAAAAAATGAGCTGGGCATGGTGGCGGGCACCTGTAGTCCCCGCTACTTGGGAGGCTGAGGCACGAGAATCGTTTGAACCTGGGAGGCAGAGGTTGCAGTGAGCCAAGATCATGCCATTGCACTCCAGCTTGGGCAACAGGGCAAGCCTCAATCTAAAAAAAAAAAAAAAAAAAAAAATTGGTAGTGCAGGTAGTATGCTAATGATGAAAAATAATGACATGACTCAAGTGACAAATTTGGGAGCACTGCTCTAAAGAGCTTTAATAACAGCAATGGCAACAACTGCAATTATTTATTGTACACTATATGTCGCACTGTGCAGGTGCTTAACTAAGTATACATGTATATTAATTCAATCTCATATGGATCGCAGGAGGTAAGTACTATTATTTCCTTTGTTTTACAGATTAGAAAACTTCATCAGTATGATACAGCATCAAGTCTAAGTCCTAGCAAAGAAGCAAGTCCACAATAGAAATTGGAATGATCTGATGGTACCCGGGATTGAAGCATAGCCAGAAAAAAATTTTGGAAAGTCAGTACCAAGAAGTGGAGGTTCAACAGCTTGTAGAGGAGACATAAATTGTGTTAGCAAATGACAGAATTCTAGCTACACAGCACAATTCATGAACGAACAAGATACAAAGACTCTGGAATGGAAACTTCCAAGAATAACTCAAGACCTCAGTTCCAAGAAAGGAATGGGGTGCTTGGGGAAGTCACTAGAATGAGAAATAAGGAGCAGAGTCAAGAGGTAGGTATAACAGAACTGACTGAGTCTTTTGGAGAAAAACTTTGGGGATAGAGATAGAGTAATTCTTGGTAGACTCCAGGATATGTACCAGGAAGTGGCTTGGGAACTGCTTCAAACTTAGTCAACTTTTGGTTCAAATTGATTCTGGAACTGAGGAAGGAACTAGCTTATAAAAGGGGGATGAAGATGCCAAAGTTGTGAGAAATGAGAGGTTACGGAGGCTAGAGAATCAAGCAGGACTTGAAATCAACAAGAAAGTGTTCAGGAATTCCTTGGCTGTCTGATGTTATCAGTTGTGAGGAAAACTCAGTCTCAGATAATAGCGATGAAGACAGAAATCTCCAATAGTTTCAAATAGCTAGATTTTTTTGCCCTTCCAATTTATGAGTCAAAAACAATAAAGAAAACCCTGCCACAAGCAATTTACCAATTTATCAAACCTGCACATGTACTGCTGAAACTAAAATAAACGTTTAATAATAATAATAATAATAAAGCATGAAAAATTTTTAAATCTGTTGTGATTTAGCCAGATCTATCGATTAAAAACAAAAAGTAAAAATATTTATAAGAATACTGTTAATATCCAGCCTGGACAACATGGTGACACCCATCTCTACAAAAAAAAATACAAAAATTAGCCAGGCACGATGGCACATACCTGTGACCCCAGCTACTCGGGAGGCTGAGGTGGAAGGATGGCTTGAGTCTGGGAGGCCGAAACTGTAGCGAGCTGTAATTGTGTCACTGCAATCCAGTCTTAATGACAGAAGGAGACCCTACCTCAAAAAAAAAAAAAAAAAAAAAAAGAATACTGTTAATATTAATAACTGAAATATAATGTCGCTTATCATGTTCCCCATGCTGTATATTTCACATCTACTAACTAAACTCTCCAGATAACACAATGAAGAAAGCCTATTATTACCATATTTATTGCTATACACAAGGAAACTGAGGCTCAGTGATGTGATGTAATTTGCCCAAGAACTAGAAAACAGAGACAAGAATCAAACTCAGGTCACTGACCATGAAGCCTATGGTCTTTCCACTATATTATTCTGCTAAAGACCGGCCTGGCCAAAATGGTGAAATCTCATCTCTACTAAAAATACAAAAATAATTAGCCAGGAATGGTGGTGGGCACCTGTAATCCCAGCTAGTAGGGAGGCTGAGGCAGAGAATTGATTGAACCTGGGAGGCGGAGGTTGCAGTGAGCCGAGATTGCACCACTGCACTCCAGCCTGGGCAATAGATCAAGACTCCATCTCAATAAATAAATAAATAAATAAATAAATAAATAAATAAATAAGGGCCGAGTGTGGTGGCTCACGCCTGTAATCCCAGCACTTTGGGAGGCCAAGGCAGGCGGATCACCTGAGGTCAGGACCAACCTAGGCAACATGGTGAAACCCCATCTCTACTAAAAATATAAAAATTAGCTGGATGTGGTGGTGGGCACCTGTAATCCCAGCTACTTGGGAGGCTGAGGCAGGAGAATTGCTTGAACCTAGGAGATGGAGGTTGCAGTGAGCCGACACAGTGCCACTGCACTCTAGCCTGGGTGACAGAGTGAGACTCTGTCTCAAAAAAAAAAAAAAAAAAAAATTAAACTCTCAGATGAAATTTTTGATGCTGGTAATAGGTAAAAAGCTATTAAATTCAAAATTCAAGTAGTTAAGGAGAATATAGATCTCTCTGCTAAAATGAAGAACAACTTCAGAATTGTTAAGGCTTTCCTATACAGATCATCAGTAAGTAAATAAGCCTCAACTTTTCCAAAATGCGAAACACACCTATGTGTCAAGGAGTCCTGGTTTTTATGCAATTCAGGTATTAAGAGGGAAGAAACAAACTAGATTCATGAGGTTTCATGGGGGTCTAAGCTTAGGATGTGAGTTAGAAAATGACAAAATCCTTGAAAAATTCTAGGTCGGGGCGGACAAACTGCAGCCGTGGACCAAATTCTGCCAACTACCTGTTTTTGAACAATCTGTAAACTAAGAATGGTTTCTACATTTTTCAATAGTTAGAATAAAAAATAAAACATATACAAAATACAATATTTCATGACATGTGAAAATGATATAAAATTCAGTATTTGGTGCCCATAACTAAAGTTTATCAACACACTGCCACATTTATTCATTGACATATAGCCTGTGGCTGCTTTCTCGCTACAACAGCAGAGTGCAGTGGTTGCAACAGACACCACAAAGTCTTACTATCTTACCCTTCACACACACACAAAATGTTTCCTGATCCCTGCTCTAAAAGAAAAATGAAAAAGCATCTTTTTCAAACCAATCATTCATAACTCCTGAAAAGGTAGATCCCAGTGGTTAATGAATAAATTTCATTGATAAAATTGGTGGAGAGTCGGGTGTGGTGGCTCACACCTGTAATCCCAGCACTTTGGGAGGCCAAGGCAGGCAGATCACCTGAGGTCTGGAGTTCGAGGCCTATCTGGCCGACATGGTAAAACCCCATCTCTCCTAAAAATACAAAAATTAGCCAGTGTGGTGGTGGGCGCCTGTAATCCTAGCTACTCCGGAGGCTGAGACCAGAGAATCACTTGAACCCAGGAGGCAGAGGATGCAATAAGCCAAGATCGCATCACTGCACTCCAGCCTGGGCAACAGAGTGAGACTCTGTTTAAAAAAAAAAAAAAAAGAAAGAAAAAGATTGTTTGAGAAAGCACCTCTGGTCTCTACTCCCACATCTCTGTCTTCCCTTTCGCATCCCATATTTTCAATCCTGGTTAAACATTATTTTTAGAACTTAGCACCTGATGTCCTTCTACCTTGAGTTTTCGTTTATGCTGTCACCTGGTTGGAACAGTTTCCCCCTCCCACTTCTGCACCAATAATTATTACTGTTGCTCAATCATATAGCCTACAACAAAAATATGCAGATAAATTAAGACTTATTTTAAATGTTTCTATAATGATGAATCTTTAAATATTACATTTTTTCTCATAGAATAAGTTGTCATTACAATGATTAATAATGTTCAGTTGACTAGACAATGGAATTATTTTGTAGATTAGATTACAATTATTAAACATAAAAAGGGAAATGTCATTATGTAAGTATCCTTAATAAGATAAATTGGGTTATTTTCATCTATTTTTTTCTAGGTTCATATGTCTGGAATGAATATTAATTACTGATAGAAAAGCACAGGACTCAGCATCAAGGTTTTTCCTCCCCATTTTTCATTATTGTCTTTGTTTTTAGATGTAGCACTGAGAAAATATGTTATCATAAATAAGTAGTTGGGAATAGAAGAGTTTGGGGAGACTCAATTCATAGCCCACCTTGGAGTTTCACCACAGACATTAACTTGTAATCTGACATCTAAAAATATTTTTATGTTTCCTCACTCTTCCACTGTATTAGGTTCTCATTCTTTCTTTTCTAAGCAAATAATTGGAAATCATTTAGATTCGCAAAGGGATTAGTTACACAGTCCTTAGTGATTCATTTTCTTATCACCATTGCTCTGTTAGTGAAAAGTTCTTACACATCTAAGTAGAACCTCAGAGACCTGATTTTTTCTTGTAACTGGAAGAAGAGCTACCCTGAAAGGGAGGTAGGAAAGTTCCATCTCAGATAGATTGACTTTAGGAACATGTAACGATGGAGTCTACTGTCTAGACAGTGATGTCTGTAGAATTCTTTGGCTGCTCCTACTACCCTGAAAGTCTACTATATACATCTGCCAAGTACATGTAGCCCAGTGTGAAAACTGTTGTTGTAAATGTCTCTATCGTCACTGTATAAACTGTATTCACCTCTGCATCTCCACGTGGCCGATACAACGTGTGTTCAGTTGTGTTCAATAAATTGAATTTAGATGATTTGCAGATCTAATTATATCATAAGATTCTAACTCTCATTAAAATGTGACATTTTCCTTCCTTGTCATTCACATATGAGCCAGAAATGTCTACATTTCCCACAATTAAAAAAAAAAAAATTCAACATTTTCAGCTTTCAAGGACACAGTTTTTCTCTCACAAAACCCTATAAAGAAATTCAATACCATATTTCTAACCCTTTTTGAGAAAGGGGGAACAAGAAGCCTTGGGCTTTAACAATACACTAACCTTACCTTTTGAAAATGTGGCTATTGAAAGAACAGATTAATTAACACTCTAAGAGCTAGGTTATATTCACAAATTAGAGAACTCAGTCAAGGTGGCTTCTGGCCAAAATAAGAGTGCTAAGTTGCTAATTAGCTTTGCCTATTATTTGCAGGAAGGCGTTTATTCTGTCTCTGAGAATAAAGTATATATTAGAGCTACCTCAATTATTAAGAAACTTGATATATTGCAACTAGCCAAAAATAATGATGGAATAATAGAAAAACCTGAATACTTGCATTTTCTGAAACAACTTTAATTTACGTTCTGCCTTTTTTCCATAGTTACCTTTTTCTATACCCAAAAACTAAAGGAAGGATAAATCACAATACAGGAGTTCTCTCTGTTATAGAACATTTTCCCAGGTACCTTTTCCCCTGCCAAGCACTCTTTTGTCTATAAAGGCAAAGAAAAAAATTGATTCCATTCAATTTCTTCTAAACCTGCTACTGTAGTTTTATAAGATAGGAAAACCAAGGGCAAAACCATCCAGATTGGCTGCCTGTAGTAGTAGAATGACCTGAAGTCTATGGTTTGCTTTGTCTTTATAGATATACCATAAATTTCAGGATTTGCTTTTCTATATCTACATTTCTTTATTGGCGTTCCACAGTTAAAATCGCTGACCCCATTAGATGCTTGTTCCTAAAGTAAGCATTGAGCTTTCAGCTTTTCTTTTTTCTTTTCAATGGTAATTTCTGCCTTGAGGACACTGGTTTATATTTCTGGAATGACCAGTTTGACAGAAAATCCCAAACTATACTATTTGCAAATGGATCTGCAATACTAAGACCAATATATGTCAAGGTTGGTTTCATTTAGGAGAAAAGTTGGTCTGAGTGTGAGCCTAAGTGTAACTTAAATTTCATAAAACTGTGTACCATTATCTCTATTGAACAGACACAAAACCTAGGACTACAGATACAGTAAGGTAGCCAACAAGGCTATTAAAATGCAGATCTGGGATTGCTGACTGCATCCTCAGTGCCCTTTCTTAACATACCATGCTGTAAACGCACTTTAATTCTAGAGAGAAGCACTCATGGATAGGCAAGTACTTAGAACAGTCAGTACCCAGAACAGTCAGTACCCAAGGCAAGGCCAGAGACACTTCCTTTCTCTTCTTAGTATAGAACACATACCAAAGAAAGTTCAGAATTGCCAGTGGATATACAATTAACCACGTATTGACTTATTCATTACCAATCATAAATGAGTGCTATTTAAGTACCTAAACAAATGACAATTATTTACATTTGAGTTGACGTGACTGTAGGTAACAAACTGTCCAAACATTTTAAAAATGTTTGTCCTTTAGGACCCTCAGAGACTATAAAAAAAAAAAAGGAACACGTTTATATAGATAAATAATGCATTATGTTTGTAAAAATAAACAGAATTGTATACCATAATAATACGTTAAAGTATCCTACAAATAACTAAAATTTGAAATACTCAAATGAATTCTAAAATCCATCCTCTGCTTACCTCCCTCTCAACCTCCATTTCCACTTCTCTGTAGCCTCCTGCAGCCCTGCTGGTCACTCCAATGTCAACATACACAAAAGCAGAAAATTCTTCAACACAAGAGGCAGCTCAATCTTGAAATAACCAAACATCTAATAGCATCTTTCTCACCGAATAAAAAAATATATATATTACAAAACTCTTCTCTCTATTTCTCTGCTCAGGGACTTCCTCACTTCTTGCCTTCCCTTAGTGGCAAAATTCCTTATAGTTATGGCCTGCATCCACTGTCTCCATGTCTCTCCTTCTGTATTAGTTTGTTCTCAAGCTGCTAATAAAGACAAGCCTGGGACTGGGTAATCTATTAAGGAAAGAGATTTAATGAACTGAAAGTTCCAGCTGGATGGGGAGGCCTCACAATCATGGGGGAAAGAGAAGGGGAAGCGAGACACATCTTATATGGCAGCAGGCAAGAGAGCTTGTGCAGGGGAGCTCCCATTTATAAAACCATCACATCTCATGAGACTTACTCACTATCACAAGAACACTATGGGGAAAACTGGCCCCATGGTTCAATTATCTCCACCTGGCCCCACTCTTGACATGTGGGGATTATTACAATTCAAGGTGAGACTTGGGTGGGGACACTGCCAAATTTTATCACTTTCCCTTCTTGCTTGAAGTCACTAAAGTCAGGTTCTGTCCAGCAGAACTCCACGACAAGAACATTATTGTTTTCAAGTTCATCAGCGGCCTTTGTCATGGACAGAATTACATCTCTCTCAAATTCACATGTTGAAGCCCTAACCCTCAACGTGACTGTTTGGAGATAGGATATCTTAAGAGGTAATTAAGGTTAAATGAGATCATAGGGTGAGATTCTAATCCCATATGACTGGTGTCCTTATAAGAAAGAGAAAAAGCTGGGATACACTTGTACAGAGAAAAGTCCATATGAGAACACAGTAAGAAGGCATTGTCTGCAAATGACAGAGAGAGACTTCAGGAGAAATCAACCCTGCCACCCCTCGAACTTTCAGCCTTTAGAACGGTAGGAAAATAAATTTCTGTTGTTTAAGCCACCCAGTCACTGAATTTTGTTATGGCAGCCTCAGCAGACCAATACAACCTTCACATTACCAAATTCAATGATAGTTTTTTCCATTGTCCAGTTTTACTTTACCTATCAGCAGTATCTTATAGAGTTGAACATTGACTCAGGATACCACAACTAATTAGTTTTTCTCTTATTTTCCTACCCACTCTTTCTCATCTCCTTTTTCTACTCCTTTTCAATCATCTACTTCTAAATGTTAGTAGGCTTCAGTCAGTGAACTCATCCTCTTTACTAATTATGCTTTGCCCCTAGATGATCTCATCTGGTTCCTGGCTTTAGTTACCACTTGTATGCTGATGACTATCAAATTTATGTCTCCTACCTGAAACTCTCTTCTGATCTCCAGACCTAAATATCCAACTTCCTGCAAAACACTGACACTTGGATGTCTATCAGATATCTCAAAATAACATACTGTAAACTAAAAATTTGCTATCACCTCCAACTCACCTATGCCTCCTACAGGTTTTAAATCTCAGTTAATAAAATCTCAATTTTGCTCCAGGCAAAACAATTGTGTTTTACTCATGATCCAGATCCTGTCTATCGGCAAATCTGTTGGCTGTGCCTTCAAACAGGAAGGAAAACAAGTTCCATGCCTTCATGGAACTTGTTTACAAAAATGAAGGTAAATGTAGTTGGGAAAGACCAAATAACCAATTAATTATGCCACACACAGTTTAGGTTACCTATATGCAATGGTTTGAGTGTGGCTCCTAAAGTTCATATGTTGGAAACTTAATTCTCAATGCAATAGTGTTGGGAAGTGGGGCCTAATGGGAGATGTTTATGTCATAAGGACTCCACCCTCATAAATGGGTTAATGCCAAAGGACTTGAGGCTGTGAGTTCACTCTCTTGTCTTCTATCACCCTCTTATGCCCTTCTGCCATGGGATGATGCAGCAAGCAGGCCCTCAACAGATGCCAGCACCTTGGTCTTGGACTTCCAAGCCTCTAGAACTGTGAGGAAATAAATTTCAGTTATTTATAAGTCACTCAGTTTCAGGTATTCTGGTACAACAGCACAAAATGGGCTAAGACACCATCCATATAAGCCTCCCTTTCTAAGGGGTCATCTCCAGCCATACAACATTAAAGAATTGGCTTAGAAAGCCACGTTTTATTCCATATGATGATGCTTCTCCTGGGCCTAACTGATGAGACCAGGAACGAGCCACAACAGAAGGACACTGAAAGACACAGTCCTGTAAACTAATCTATCATCTTTATAGCCTCATTCAAAGAAGTGAGGTGAGACAGTAAGAGTCCTCTATCCAGCATTTGGTTTTGGAATGCTGAGAGATTGAGCCCCTGGATAGGCTTAGGACAGAGAATGATCCAGGAATGGCAATGAAGGACCAGGTGGACAGCAAAGATAAGGAGGAGGAGCAGCGGGGAACAAAATGAATGCAGATGAAGTTAGTTTATAGGGGAACAAAACAGAAGCAAGAAAAGAGCATAAAAGCTGTGATAATAAATCAAGGTCTCAAGCGAAGACTTGCTTCTTAAACATACCAATATGTCTATAAACCACTGTTTCAAGGTAACTTGAACAGATTCTTTTTTTTTCCTCGCAAACAAGCTAGTCTAAAAAATTCACCGGCTAAGTGCACTGGGAGGTTATATTTATATTAACTATATAAAAAAATGTATCTTACTCAAGCATTTGAGCAAATGTTTGTGAAGTCAGGTGCGTTTGCCTAAGGGTATCCACAAACACAAATGCACAGAATCACAGTTAAACAACTAAATGTTTAGGGCAATTGCAGACAACGGTGTCTCTCTGAATGACATTTTGTTAAAACAAATACATTTAATGAGCTACTTGCAAATGGTTTTTGTCCCTGTGAAAATCTAGTGAAGCTTAGAACTATATAGCCATAATTTAAATTCACCTGACAGAGGTAGGTGTAGTGAAGGTACAGTCTTTCATTTCATTCTTTATTTTCAAATATATGAAGCTAAAGATCAACCATAACAAGAAAAGATGGAGGGTGATCATTTCTAAGGGGATAGAAGGCACATTTTGATTTGGTGATGCTGATTTTATGGCATCTATTGTATGAAGGTGACAGAGAAAAATAGACCCCAGAGACATTAATCACACAAAATCTGTCAGTAAGGACGAACACAACCAACAATTTTACCATCAAAATGCAATCCATAATCAGGAGAAAGGGGAATTGCTTCTCTGTGTGATTCCAACCCTGATAACTAATTACTTAGATGCCAACTCCTAAATAGTGGAGCCAAGACAGACAAAGGGTCTATTTTCTCCCTTGGCAACAAAAGCGTTTATCAATGAACTATATTCATGTCTTTAAAAAAATTTTTTTTGTTAGTTTAAGATTTGAAATAAATCATTCCTAAAACTCTGATAACTAAAATCCCTCATCTTCAGTATGAATCTACAAGTAGAAAATCTTAGAAATGTGATCAGTAGCATTTATTCCATATATCTTTAAAACAGCATGATATGCTGCTTGGAAAGTTCTAAACGTTTGTTGTTACCTTGAGTTAAAATTTCAGTAAACATTAAACCAGAAGAAAGAAGTTTTATGTAAAAGTCAGATTGGTATATATTTTTGTGTACACATGGTTTACATTTCCTGTTGAGAGTTAACAAAGGAAGTAAAATATGCAAAAGAAAGAAAAAAAATAGTTGTCTTTGGCCTTCAGATTTCAAATCCATTAAAAGATAGGTTTTAGAGAGGTGGTTGCTTTATCTGAATTGTTTTTTTTTCTTTTTTTTTCTATTCCTATCCTAGTTATTAACCAAATTAGAGTTATTACCCAAAGAATAGAGGTCCTAGAATCAGGCCCAGAGGGAATTCAAGGGCAGCAGCTTTTGTGCATGAATTTGTGCTATTCTGTTTAAAGAAAGCCATTCAGGCTTTCAATAACTTTCTTTATTTTTATCAATGTTTTAGGGGGAGCAACAAAAAAAAAGAATGAATATTGTGTGTCCATGAGGGAGGGGGAGGGTGGGGTATATGGGATTTGAGTGGTCTAAAGACAAAACTCGAAGAGGAATTGGTGGAATTTCTATTCAGTGGTGTCTTGGGAAATGTTAAACCTAATGGGATGTTGTGGTATCTAGGTGATACAACGCAAAGCGTTACCTGGTAGTTCTACAAATCAGTTGCAGTGAGCGATCACTTGCAGGTTAAAGTAACTACCCCCGATAATTACCCCACACGTTTTCTGTGATTTCCAGTAAAAAGTAAGTCCCCACGCTCTCTAGATCTTATACGAAACTAAAACCTCTTTACCCAGATATGTTAGTAATTTCTTATTGAAAGCAAATTAATTCAGCCCTTTTTGGCATCAGCCACTACATTTTTATTGGCTACTCACCATGTGACTAACTTGTACAGTGTCTTCTGGGTATTCAACGGGTAACACATATTTTCTGCCCTCAAAGAGACCTGTAATCTACAAGTCTGTGGTGGAAGCAGATCTAACACATAAGAAATAACAAAGTTGGAGGGAGGAAAGGCATAGAATGGCACAAAGTGACTTAAAACGCAAAAGAAACCCGGCACCTTGACTCACGCCTGTAATCCCAGCACTTTGGGAGGCCGAGGCAGGTGGATCACGAGGTCAGGAGATGGAGACCATCCTGGCGAACACGGTGAAACCCCGTCTGTACCAAAAATACAAAAAATTAGCCAGGCGCGGTGGCAGGCGCCTGTAGCTCCAGCTACTCTGGAGGCTGAGGCAGGAGAATGGCGTGAACCCGGGAGGCGGAGCTTGCAGTGAGCCAAGATGGCGCCACCGCACTCCGGCCTCGGGACAGAGCGAGACTCCGTCTCAAAAAAAAAAAAAAAACCAAAAGAAATTCCCTTATTGTCAATCCCTCAATCCTAAAATAATTCATGTATAAGTGAATGTGAGGTATTATAATAGTAAAGGATAAACTAATTTTGTCCATGTTTATGCTGTTCATTAGAAAAGCTAAAAGAGTCCGGGCGCTGTGACTCACGCCTCTAATCCTAGTACTTTGGGAGGCTGAGGTGGGAGGATCACCCGGGGTCAGGGGTGAAACCCTGTCTCTACTAAAAGCACAAAAATTACCCTGTTGTGTTGACGCATGCCTGTAGTTCCAGCTGCTCGGGGAGGCTGAGGCAGGAGAAAAGGTTGAACATGGGAGGTGGAGATTGCCGTGAGCCATCACACCACTGCCCTCCATTCTGAGCGACAGAACAAGACTGTGACTCAAAAAAAAAAAAAAAAAAAAAAAAAAGCTAAAAGAATTTATATTATTTAAATTTGGAAACTATGTTTCATAGCAAGTGTTAGCCAGTTTTTCTTGATATAACGCCTTCTGCAAATGTCTCTAATAATTCGTTTATTTTTCATGACCTGCTTATGTTGCTTAGGGTGACTAAACACCGCCTTTGAATCCTTCTTTATTGCTCCATTCTCTATTTCCAAGAGGCCACTCACTACCAAGGTGCCAATGAAATCTTTTCTATGGTTTAAAGTAAATACTTGATTAAGAGTTTCCTTTTCTTCACAGTATAATGCATGATGAAATACTTGAATTGATTTTTTTAAAGTATACCTATATCATCTTTACTTGTCAGAACGAGGCAGCTTTAAATTATTTTTATAGTGTTTTATGTAAATTTGGCACTTGGGTACACGAGCATCATTTGTGTTCTAAAATGTATGCAGACAGCATTTGGGTATATTATGCCAGTTGATTTATCGAGAGTACTATAGCATTCATACTTTGATATTAGTGGGCTCTGTAAAATATTGTACTAAGTGGCCATTTCTTCAAAAGATTTTTTAATCCATTTTTTTGTTTCCACAAAATGTTAGAAGCAGAGTTCTATGCTGGGTATCAGGAGTCTTAAGTCTTTCTCTCTGCTATAGCTAAACTGTGTTCTGACCTTGGGTCACATCAAAATTTTGAATGATTTCCCATTTCCTAATAACAATAGCAACAATAACAATAAAAGTTAACATTTATTGAATGCTTTATTATACACCAGGTGCTGCATGTCTTAACTCATTTAATCTTCACTTCCCTCTAATGCAGTAGGCACTGTCACAATCTGCATTCACTGTTAGGAAACAAGCCCAGAGAGCTGAGAATCCTCTAGCTAACAAGTCACAGAGCGAGTATATGCCCAGCCTGACTCCAGAATTCACAATTTCATCCAGGTTACCTTTGAAACCCAAACTCTCTAATATTCCATTTATGTCTTTCCCCCATGTGTTTTATCCTTATTCTTCAACATCCGTCCTCAACTACCTTTCGTTCCAAACAAATTAAACTCTTCCATTGCCAATTTTTCTTCTAATCTTTGCAGGCTGTGGATTTTTACTTAGGTTTGTTCCTCTGTCTGGAATGTTCTTTGCCCATCTTTACCTTTCCAAAGTCCTTGCTACCCCTTAAGAACTAATAATTACTAACAACAACAAAAAAGAACAAGTAATTACTAATAATAACCAATAGAAAAATAAAATACTCTTCAATATCACACCAAAACTTTAGCAACCAACTACATAAAGAAAAAGATATTTACAGAGTAATTGGAGAAATTTTGAATAAATGGAAGATAAACCATTTACATAGATAGGGCAATATATTATGATAATGATGTCTCTCTTCCCAAATTATCCTACAAATTCAAAGCAATCACAATAAAAATTCCAGCTGATATTTTTAGAAAATTGATAAAACTCCATCTAAAATTAATATAAAATAATAATGGTCTACAAGTATTTATATTGGTTTTGAAAAAAGAGAGTTAAGGTTGAGTTAGGCAGAATTAATTTGCTACATATTAAGATATATTACATGGTTGGCCAGGCATGGTGGTTTATGCCTCCCAACACTTTGGGAGGCCGAGGTGGGTAGATCACTTGAGGTCAGGAGTTTGAGACCAGCCTGGCCAACATGGTGAAATCCTGTCTCTACTAAGATACAAAAATTAGCTGGGTATGGTGGCGCACACCTGTAATCCCAGCTACCTGGGAGGCTGAGGCAGAAGAATTGCCTGAACCTGGGAGGCGGAGGTTGCAGTGAGCCAAGATTGTGTCATTGCACTCCAGCCTGGGCAACAGAGCAAAACTCCATCTAAAAATATATATTACATGGTTAAAATAAAACAAAGAGTATGATATAGGTGCAGGAACAAAAATGTCAGTAGAACAGAATGCATAGCTTATGTATATTATGTATAGATCTATTTAGACAAAGAAACATATGTTATGCAAAGAAATATGTATCAGTGATACTTCAAAGCAAAGAGGACAGAATGGATTGTTCTATATATGGTGTTCGTAAAACAAGATCTTTCTATACAAAAAATTTGAACAGTTCTCTACTATATACAAAATGCAAATGCATACTCCATAAAAATTATTTTACAAAATTCAAGAGGTAATACCATTAAACTATTAGTTTAATGGTACCTCCTGGGTAGCTGGGATTACAGGTGTGTGCCACCATGCCCAGCTAATTTTTGTATTTTAGTAGAGACAGGATTCACCATGTTGGCCAGGCTGGACTCAAACTCCTGACCTACCCACCTCGGCCTCCCAAAGTGTTGGGAGGCATAAGCCACCGTGCCTGGCCAACCATGTAATATATCTTAATATATAAATAGGATGAGTTTTTATCTAATAATGGGTAATATAGACAAAGTTAATTGATAAGAGACTGGAAAAAGGTATTTGAAATGTCTAAAATAAACACACTAATACTCTCTTTAATTACAAAAAAACCTCAAAATTTTAAAGAAAGACAGAAATCCCAATCTTTTCAATAGTCAAATATACTTAAAAAGCAGTTAACAGAAAAGGAAGTTCAAATACAAATTTTATGAAAAGAGATCCAACCTCATTAGTTATCAAATAAATTTATATTCTAATGATGCTATTTTATATTCACAAGTATTGTAAAACCTACTTTTTGGTGAGATCATGTGGAAATAAACTTAGCCAAACAACCCGTTGATTGTGCAAAGTAGCATTCAATCTGGAAAGCAGTTTTTTAATACTTAGTGAAATCAAGTCAGCACGTAACCTTTGACTTTCAAGCACCTTGTTCCTAGGGGTTGGTAATGGTCCAGGTATATAAACATTTTTTTCAGCATTGTTTGACATAATGATTTGGTAACATTAAAATGATAATGATAACATTTGTAGCACAATACCATTCATGTAAAGATAACACACACGCATCAACAACAGCACCACATCAATTTATTTTGCAAAACTACATATATATTTAATGACATATACCCAACATACCATAGTAAATGTCTACAGGGTAAAACAATGGGAGGGGAGGTTCAGGATGGAGGGAGAAAACTAAAGGTGTATAAGTAAGAGAGATACTTTGCTTGAACTCACAATAATAATTTGACATACATGGAAAAGTACCATTATCTCAAATCTCTGCACCTGAAGATCAAGAGGAAAAACAGAAAGTATACTTTAGATTCAGATAAATACACCTGGACCGGTGCAATGAGGAACCCCTGAGAGGGGGCTGGGAGAGCTCATAGGTCTGAGAAGGAGAGAAACAGAGAGGAGTTTTGCCTTCTATTCACTGCAACCATATACGGTTCCCCATTCTCTCTTTCACTCTGATGATATGATGGTTTTGGCTAAAAGCACATTCTTATTTGGAGAACAAAGAAATGGAACTAAGAGAACCCGTAAGGCACATGGAGGAATCGTTGAAATAATGGCTGCTTTGTTATCAGAGTAAAGTTCTGCCCAGCTCTAGACAGGCCATGTGACTTTGAGTGAGTTACTTATTTCTGTTTGATAAGCCTTGGTTTCCTTATCTGTCAATAGAGGCAATACCCCTCACAGTGTGGTATTGTTACAATGCGATAATTTATTCATTTCATTCTACAAGTATTTATTGTCTCTGTCATATTCTAACTATTCTCGGGGCCAGAATACAGCATGAGCAAAACAAGTTAAAAAAAAATGCCTAGCTTTCATGGATTATAGCGGGCAGTGGGGAGAGACTACAATAAATAAGGTAAGTAAAATGTCCAGAATGGCAGATGGTGATAAATTTAGGAGAAACAAAAAAGAAGGAAAGGAGAAAGGAGGACGGGAAATGCCCAGAAGTAGGGCAATTCTTTTTTAAATAGGATTGTTGGGAAAAACCTTGCTGAGAAGTTTAAACATAGATCTGGAAAAAGTGAGTGAGTAGGCCATGCAGATAACAGGGAAGAGGGCAATCAGTCTTGGTGACCATGAGGGAGAAGTTCTGTTACAGAAGAACAAGGACTCAGTATAATTGGAGGACAGGGAGGAAAGAAGAAGGCAGTAAGGATAAGGGGCAAGAGCTCAGCATCCACATCACAAGGGTTTTATAGACCATTTTAATGACTTTTGACCTCTGCTCTGAGACAGGAGGCTCTTGAAGGCATCTGAATATGGAGGTCATAGGACTTACCTTACTTGAAAAGTGAACTTTCTGGTGACTGTGTTGAGCTAGACTGCAGAAGAGTAAGGTAGAAGAAAGAAACAAGCTAGACTGGGCACAGAGACTCACACCTATAATCCCAGCATTTAGGGAAGCCGAG